TCTTTACAGGAAAGTAAACTGCCGCCGAGTTTCTTCCAATGAAGAAAGTAAGCAGTTGATAGTGTCGATGCTGAAAAGTTTGACGGCAGGCAAAGACTGCGCCTCCGGCAATAAGGGAAACTGGCACGAGGCCTCAGCGGTGTGCAGTATCGGATTACATCCATTCGATCCAGTGGCAGCTAGTAGTTGGCTTGTGTTGGGAAAATAGCCTTGAGAAGTCAACTGGCTAGGCGATAATGTATTAGGAATCTAAACTGCCTGTAATACTCGTAAATTACTGGTTCTCTTCTACCGACACTGCTAACACCTCAGCAGTGTCAGGAAAACTGCAGCCGAGGTAATTTAACAAATCGATGATAAGCGAGCAAATTCATTATAAATAACGATGAAGCTGCTTCTGTAAACGGCAAAATTTTCCAGTGATGAGCTTCAACATTTTCATAAAAGTGCAGCAAGCTGCTTTATCACCACCATTATTGGTTTTGCTGTTCTTGTTAGCTGCTGCTGAGCTGCAATTATTTTGAGACTAATTAGAGGCCATGTGAAGCACCAGAGTAGACAGCAGCCAATTTTACGCTTCAGTCAAACAATTAACGATTCTGTCATATTCTGTTTTTCAACATCATCTTTTTCTTTTTTTCCTTCTTCTAACTCACAGCACACCCGCACTACTTCAACCAACTGTCATGCGGACTGGACATTGTCTCTCTGGCCGGGGAATGGCTAACAGCTGCTGCCAACACGAACATGTAAATGAATGGCACTGAAAGCTGGCACACTCAAGCTGACAGACACTTTTTCCCCTCTTTCATGTAGGTTCACGTACGAGATAGCTCCGGTTTTCATCCTCATGGAGCACGAAGTGCTGAAGAAGATGCGGCAAATCATTGGCTTTGAACATGGTGACTCCATCTTGGCACCAGGTTTGTGCTGCTGCTGCCCTCCCGCATCGTTCTCATCGGGACACTGACCTTGTTCTTCTTCTTCTTCTTCTCTTTTACCAGGAGGAGCAATCTCTAATCTGTACGCGGTGATTGTCGCTCGACAGAGAAAGTTTCCAGAGTGCAAGACAAAGGGACTGAAGGCTCTGCCACAGCTGGTTCTTTTCACATCCGAGCACGTAAGTGGAGGGTGACATTGCAGCAGCTTAGGCAATTGCAAAGACATACGGTACCAGACAGACTGCTGTTTAAACTGTGGCCTCCACTGACTGTCCATTGGATGGGCCCGATGATGTGACTGTCGGTCGAATTCAAGCGACGTGTCTAATTGCCTTCGTTATGCAGTAGACTCGTGCGCGAGGGCGAGATTTGTCATTGCTTTTCCCAATCTGCCTCGATTGATTGAAACATGAAAACATGTCAACATTGAGGTGCAATTATCACTAATTAGAGACACAATTTTACTTATCTAGAGCCACTACTCAACAAAGGGAGCTGGCGCAACGTGTGGATTCGGCACTGACAATGTCATTGAAGTGCCATGTGATGAGAGGTACGCTCAGGGAGCAGAGAAGTCGACTGCTGAAAGGCATCTGAATCACACACTTTCTATTGCACAGAGGTAAAATGATTCCATCCGAACTGGAGCGACTGGTGCGCGAATCGATCGAGAAGGGAAATCGGCCTTATTTTGTCAACTGCACTTGCGGCACCACCGTGCTCGGCGCGTTCGATCCAATCAATCCAATCGCTGACATCTGCGAGAAGTACAACTTATGGCTGCACATNCTGGTGCGCGAATCGATTGAGAAGGGAAATCGGCCTTATTTTGTCAACTGCACTTGCGGCACCACCGTGCTCGGCGCGTTCGATCCAATCAACCCAATCGCTGACATCTGCGAGAAGTACAACTTATGGCTGCACATTGATGTGAGTGACAGGGTGTCATCTCTTTATGGCTTTCTAAATTTAATTTCATTTTCACTNCGATGTGAGTGACAGGGTGTCATCTTTTTATGGCTTTCTAAATTTAATTTCATTTTCACTCCATCTTTAATCAACTGTTAGGCTGCTTGGGGTGGAGGACTGCTGCTCTCTGCCAAGTACCNTCCATCTTTAACCAACTGTTAGGCTGCTTGGGGTGGAGGACTGCTGCTCTCTGCCAAGTACCGTCACAAGTTGGCTGGCATTGAACGCGGTGACTCGGTCACCTGGAACCCACACAAGCTAATGGGCACTCTGCTGCAGTGTTCGACCGTCCACTTCAAAGAGGATGTAAGTGCATTTGAAATGCAGTGAACAGCAGCACAGTTTTAACCAAATGAATGTCCTTTAGGGACTACTGATTGAGACCAATCAGATGTGTGCTGACTATCTGTTTCAGCAAGACAAACACTACGATGTCAGCTATGATACTGGCGACAAGGTCATTCAGTGCGGTCGACACAATGACATCTTTAAGTTGTGGATTCAGTGGCGATCAAAGGTAGTGGATTGAGGCAATTGCCAAATATCTGTTTACCAATACAATGATTACTTTTAGGGTGACAAGGGCTACGAAGAGCACATTGACCACTTGCTCGAGATGAGTGAATACTTGGTGCAGGGCATGAAGGTTCGTGGTGACAAGTTTCACCTCATTCTCGAGCCGGAGCTGGTGAACGTCAGCTTCTGGTATGTGCCCACTCGTCTGCGAGGCGTTCCCCACGATGCCGATCGTATTCGAGAACTGGGAGCGGTAAGTTGTCTCANGTGAACGTCAGCTTCTGGTATGTGCCCACTCGTCTGCGAGGCGTTCCCCACGATGCCGATCGTATTCGAGAACTGGGAGAGGTAAGTTGTCTCAAACGACTAAATCAGAGTGTGCTCTAATTAGCTCAACTTTTGCAGATCACCCCCANTTTACTAAATCAGAGTGTGCTCTAATTAGCTCAACTTTTGCAGATCACCCCCAAACTGAAGGCTCGCATGATGAACAAGGGCAGTCTGATGATCGGCTATCAGCCACTTGGCGATCTGCCCAACTTTTTCCGCAACATCACCTCCAATGCAGGCATTCAGAAGAAGGACATTGACTATCTGCTTGAGGAACTGGACCGCCTGGGCCACGACCTGTAAACGGGCGACAAAGTAAACTGACTTGTTCCCTGTAGTTATCACTGTTTGCACATCTCATGTAGATATACTCCCCCACTGTGGACTGTTACCCCTTTGAAAGGTCTATTGTAGCTGCCGACAACCACTAGACGGTGTCACAATCTTCTGTGCTGCCCAGTGGAGCACCACTCCACCGGGCGCACAAAAAGGATTGCACAAGGCAATCATCGCAACAAAATCACTTAAGTCTTCCAGGAGGCGACTGTTCAGCGCCCACTCTCCGCGGAGTGCTGCAGACGTTCTTCACCCTCACCCTTAAAGTGAATCTGTGCGTTACTGTTTCCCCTTAACTCACAACCCTTAATTACTTCTTCTAGTCCTTAAACCATAGTTAAACACTGCCGTGTGAACTAAACGGCCTAGTTGTTTTGATCAGCTTGTGATGTGGTCTGCCGTCGATAGCGAGGACTACGAGTGAAAGAACCGCGAATACCAAACATATCATAAACATATCACAAACGCAAACCACCCTTCTCACATGAACCACTGACGAACTGACTAACTCACACACAACTGCACACCAACTCAACAGACACACTTTCTTTCCGTTTCTCTCCTGTGTTCCGTCCGTGCCGAGCGCGCACGTTAGCTCGACGTGTTTTCTCCTTTCCGTTTCCTGTATTTCTTTAACCTCTGCCACGAGCCAAGTCGGAAAAAGCTCCCGTCTTTGTCTCCACTATCAAATCTCCTTTTTGAAATGTGCTCACAACTCTTCAACTAAAAACTGTTTTACTCAAATTTCATTTCATTTTCATCTTTTGTTTGCCCACCAACACCCTTCTTTGGATGCCTAATTTCACAACACTTTTTAGATGCTTTTTCATTTATATTTTTCATTACAACCACATACACATACACACACAAAACACACAAACACAAACAAATACTCAAGCAACATACCAAAGAACGAATACGATTGTCATTATCTACGTACAAAATCTAGTGCAAGTGCTGTAGGTATACCAAGTGTGTTGATGACTTAATAAAAAACAGCTGTTTAAATTGACTGGTGTTTTGCACTGCACTTGTCAGTGATGCTTTGTTATTGGTTGCCATGGTTTCCCTTGCCTGTGCTGGACGGAAGGCATGGAGATTACGGTTGTAGGCAACTCTACTGGTTAATGTCAAAAAGATGTGTTTTTATTTCAATATTTAATACCATTTCAAAACTAACAAGTATTTACAACACAAACAAGGGGATGTAGTTGTTCGACAAGAGCACAAAGTGACGGTTTATGTTGCAGACACCATAGATCGCTTGTCAGTGAAAAAGTTCTTGAGAATCATAACTTGGCCGATGCCGATTATCAGAACGACGCAGGTCTCGAACAACGACCATGTCATGACGCGACTGTTGAGCTCTTCGGCTCGCTTACGGCCCTTGGCTTCGTTCAGTCGGTAGTGAGTTTGAGCATCAAGAATTGTGTTAAGGCTTTCGTGAATATTCACCGCTGCCTGCTCCATCTGCAAAAACAACAGTAAAATCCCGTTAGAACTAAGGTAATTTAACAGTCAAAAAGGGCACACTGACCTTAGTCATGGCTGTCAAGTGTTCTTGCGTGCCAGGTAGGGGAGCTTCTTCGCCAACGGTAAAGTCAAAGTAGACCAGCTTGTGACTAAATGTGGAGAACTCATTGCTGAAGCACACCGAATAGGTGCCGGTGCTGGCGGGCTTCCATTTGAAGGTGTCAAACTGCTTCTTGACGCCCTGATAAAGCACTTCTCCACGTGGACCGGTCAGCGTCATATCAACATCATACTTGCCGCCGGTTACAACCTAAAACATAACAAAATGATTAATTAAACACTCTCAGCCATCTTTTGGCCGCCAATAGGCTCACCTGAAATTCAACTGTGGAGTCGATGCCCTGGCGAATGTCTTCGTGAAAGCACTGCTTTGCATTATCGGGCAGTTCGAATGTGAGTTCAACCGCAAGGGCCGTCGAGATGACGGCGAATGAGAGTAGAACGGGGTACAGTTGAGTCATTTTGCTCCAATGGGTGGTGACTGATGAGCCAGGACGGCGGTCTGCGGTGTGGAGGACCGAATGGGAGCTCTAAGGTGCTGCAGATGGTGGTGCGGTGATCAGAACCGGGTTGATGAAAAGAAGTAAACAAATCGGACTGGAAATCTAGCCAATACGTGGCATTGACAACGCTTGAAGTGTCGGCACTTTGCTTGCTAAATATCTTTGCTGCTGATTTGCGTCTGACAGTAGTGCGAAGCTGGGGAAATCCTTCTCCACTGTGACCAATTGAAGGAGGAGTCACTCAACTCAAACCGCCAAGTCGCCGTAACTGTAGGCAGTGCTTTACATCCCGCCTCCAGCACTGCTCAGCAGTAAGTGCTAGCTCCCAAGCCGAGTGAAGAGAGTCTCGCAGTCAGAGAGGACGTACTTTGCCATCCGCAGCTGGAAAACAGAAGCTGACGTAGCAGAGTGAGCTTTCTGTTCAGCAGCAGTAGTGCCAGCCAAATTGTTTAGTCCATCACCGGCGAATCACAAACGTGTTGGTCTCTGAAATGGTACCAACAATGAATCATGTCGCCGGTCCACCGGCCCAGACTCACCTCCCGCACCAGCAACAGCAGCAGAATTACTACCAACAGCCGCAGTACCAGGCACCACCTCCTCCCCTTCCTCAACAACAGCAACAACAACAACCGCAGCAGCAGCAGCAGCAACAGCAGCAACCTCCTCCACCTCCGTCTTCCTCCCTTCCTCCTCAGCCGTCGTACCAGCAGCCGCCGCCGCAGCCCAGTTACCAGCAACCTCCGCCGCCGCCCAGTTACCAGCAGCAGCAGCAGCCGCCACCGCAGCCCTTGTATCAGCAACAACCGCCCTACCAGCAACAGCCCCCTTACCAGCAATCATCGTACGCCCCGAATGAGAACCAAAACGCCCTAAACAACAACGTCAATGGCCATCCTCAATACCCTTATCCTAGCTACACTGCGTCAGGCGCTGGGCCAGCAACCCTTCCGCCGCCTCCCCCATCAAACATGCCGCCGCCGCCTCAAGGAAATCTTCCGCCGCCACCTCCGCTTCAAAATGTAAACAACTTTGGCGGGCCGTACCAGGCAGCGAATCAGCAGAACCGACTTGATCCCGAGGGAATGCCCAGTGTGGTACAGGTGATCTTGGAAGACAAAACGAAATTTGAGTCCAATAGCAATGTTCTCTTTACCACCACTGTGCCTGCCACTGTGCCTCCGCTCGTCACTACCATCATGGAGAATGATCTTCAAGTGGTCGAAGATGGCGGTACTGCCAGGCCTAACTTCCTTCGGCCTACAATCTACCAAGTGCCTGTCACTGAAGATCATCTGAAGACAACAGATATTCCCCTTGGACTGGTCATCAAGCCTTTTGATGAGCAGGAAGTCGATGGCAAAATCGTAAGTTGTATGCTTACTAAAATTTGCTTTTATTTATTTCTATTCATTTTGTTCCAGTACGTTCCTGTGACCAACAGTGAAATTGTTCGTTGCAATCGTTGCAAGTCCTACATGAACCCGTACAATCGTTTTGTCGATTGTGGCCGCCGGTTTCAGTGTTCACTGTGCAAACACGTCACCGAAGTGCCAGCTGGCTACTTTGCCAATCTTGACCACACAGGCATGTGTTTTCTCCATTTTCTCCATTTTCATTTCCTAACAACTGTGCTTTACCACAGGTCAACGACTTGACAAGTATCAACGACCTGAACTCTTCCTCGGTTCATATGAATTTAGAGCTACTGAAGAGTACTGCCGAAACAGTAAGTTAAAGCCGGAGGAAGCTCTATTGTTTCTAACGTGTTTACCTTTGTCAGATGTCATGAATAATCGGCGTCCACATATCATCTTTGCTTGCGAACTTACTGAAACGTCCAAGCCAATTTTGAACTATCTGTCGACAAATCTTGTTGATATCATTCGTAACTTTCCAAAGTAATTGTTTTTATTTTTGTCACTTTGATTTAATATTGACCCGTTCTTTTAAAGGGACCCTCTCAATCCAAACTCATATCCACCAATGGTCGGTTTTGTCACTTACAACTCCAAGATTCAGCTGTACGACATTGTAAATAATGGGCAGGCCCATGTTGTCTGTGACCTGTCAACTCCGTTCCCTCCACTGAACACCTTTTTAGTGGACCCACTGGTGCATTTGGACAAAATTGAAAGGTAATTGTGCTGGAGGTATTGACTGTAAATTTTTATACGATTTGTCCATTTTAGTTTCCTGAAAACTCTGCCATCGTTGTACGCAAGCGAGGAGCTGGAGATGCAAACTATTCTAGGTCCGGTGATTGAAGCCGCCTTGATGACCACCCAAGTTGACGTCAACAACTGGTTTAACCAGGAGCAGGCCAACAAAGTTATTGTTGATAAAGACCAGAATCAGACGTACGAAACTATTCCCGTCGGCAAGATTTACCTCTTCCACTGCACGCTTCCCACTTATGGCAATGATACAGACACGCCTGGGCGCCTGAAGCCTCGCTGGACAAATTCAATCGATGAAATTCGAAAGCTTCTCGGCTCGGACAAAGAGAAGACTGTCCTTTCACCCGAACTCAACAAATACTACCTAGGTTTGGGGCAAAAGTGTGTCAAGGACTTTGCCAGTGGTGTCGAGCTGTTTCTCTTTCCGCCTGCCAATGGTAAGCATCATTCGTTCTGTAGTAGTTTTGTAAATTACATTTTTTCATTGTTTACAGGTTCATATTTGGATGTTGCCACTCTTGGAGAGCTGACTCGACTTAGTGGAACTGGAGCCATTTTCAAATACTTTAACGATTTCTCCGACGCCTTTCTTACCGACTTGAAGTACTCGCTGTATTCAAGTTATGCATTTGATTGCATTCTCAAAGGTACTTTTGATTGCTCATGTTTTTAAACAGACGTCCTTTTAACACATCTTTCTAGTGCGAACCTCAACTGGCATCAGACCTCACGACACTTATGGAAACTTTCACCTCACTCTACCCAATGATATTGAGTGCGCCGCATTGAACACAAGCTCGAGTTTGGTTGTAGACTTCAAGTACGACGACAAGCTGCCCGACGATGAGCACGTCATTATTCAAGTCGCAGTCCTTTACACCTCTCTCTCAGGAGAACGACGAGTTCGGCTGCATAATTTGGCACTCGCCCCTTGCCAAGTGATCAGTGATATCTACCGAAATTCCTGTTGTGATACGATAGTTAATCTAATTGCACGAAATGGTAACACTTTGCATTTGGGTTGGTTGGATGACTGCTTACCTAAACGCTTTGTATTTTACAGCTGTGTACAATCTTCGCAAAGGAGACAAAACTATTCAACAGACGAAGGAGGCAATCATCGCTCGAGTCATTAACATTTTGACATCTTATCGAAGACACTGTGCTCAGCCTGGAACTTCTCTCGGTAACTTCTTTTAGTTTGTAAAATGTAACCTTTTTTATAACGAACTTGTTCCCTTTACAGGTCAATTAATTTTACCCGAGTCACTCAAGCTTCTCCCAATGTACACCTGTGGCATACTAAAGTGCGATGCCATCGATGGAGGTCCGGAGATGAATCCAGACGATAAGGCACTTGCGCAGCTGAAGATGCTCGGAGCTCATCCTTCACTGAGCCAGGTGTTCTTGTACCCGCGACTTTATAAGATTGAGGTAAGTTCTGTTTGTTCGTTTATTGTTGAAACGTAATGACAATTTGTACTTTTTTCCTGCAAAGTACGAGGATGCCAACGAAGAAAATCTCAAATATTCGCAAATTAGATGCTCCAGCTACAAACTGAACGCTCCAGCACTGGGCTTTATTCTGGAGACCGGATTTTACGTTCTCTTTATGATAACCACTTCAGGTTGTTCAAATGTAAAGTTTCT